TCTGGAATGTTCTTTTTTTCTTTTACTCACTGGTGGCTTACACCTGTCATCCTAACTACTTAGGAGGCTGAGATCTAGAGGATCATGGTTTGAAGCTAGCCAAGGCAGGAAAGTCTGTGAGACTCTTACCTCCAATGAACCACCCCAAAAAACAAGTGGTAGAGTGCCAGGCTTGAACATAACTAAAGGACAGCACCGAGGCCCTGAGTACTGGCGTGTGCACACACACACACACACACACACACACACTTACACGATAGAAGAGGGACCTAGAGGACATGTGAACAAATATGGGCACACATATACAGGTGATGGAAAAGCAGATCTTCCTCATAAACTTTGTTGTTCTTAAAAGTGCTGCCAGCTGGGAGATTTCCTCTGGGCCAGGCAATGGCTGATGTCAAGTTCAAGGACTCCAGGAAGACTAGGCCAGTACTCACAGAGGGGAGGCAGCCTTCACGTTTTCCCTTTCATGATTTCGAACGCAAGGCAGCTGGAGATCATAATGGCCCCCACCAGGATGCTGGAGATTCTGAAGCCCAAGGCCAGATTGGAATATTTCTAGGCCTTTCTCTGATCATGATGGAAGTTGGCTTCCCCAGTCTGTGGGAGGATGGGTAGAGGCAAGCTGGCAGAAGTATTTTAGGAACAGGAAAGGTGGGGTAGGAGGTAGAATGCAAGCGTGGGACTGTGGTATAAAGGAGGCCCCAGGGTAGTGTTAAAGGCCCCAGGAGAAAAAGAGATAAAGCCAGGTGCTGGTAGCTCACCCCTGTAATCCCAGCTACTCCGGAGGCTGAGATCAGAGAATCTAGGTTTCAGACCAGCCCAGGCAGGAAAGCCCATGAGACTCTTAATCTCCAGTGAACCAGCAAAAAGCCAGAAGTGGAGCAGTGACTCCTTGACAGTGAAAAAGTAAAGTACTCAGGCCCTGAGTTCTGGCCCCAGTGCCCAAAGGAAAGGAAGGAGGAAGGAAGGAAGGAAGGAAGGAAGGAAGGAAGGAAGGAAGGAAGGAAGGAAGGAAGGAAGGAAGGAAGGAAGGGAGGGAGGGAGGGAGGGAGGGAGGGAGGGAGGGAGGGAGGAAGGGAGGGAGGGAGGGAGGAAGGAAGGAGGGAGGGAGGGAGGGAGGGAGGGAGGGAGGGAGGGAGGGAGAGAGTATTGGGTAGGACATTGGAATTACACAAGGTGGGAAGCATGTTCTGGAGGAGGAAAGGCAGCCAGAAGGTGAGGGGAAAAAGAGAAAAGTCCTCCCAGGATTTCTTTTTTTTTGTTGTTGGTCGTGGGGCTTGAACTCTGGGCTTGGGCGCTGTCTCTGTGCTCTTCAGCTCAAGGCAAGCACTCTACCACTTGAACCACAGCGCCACCTCCGGTTTTTGAGTGGTTTATTGGAGATAAGAGTCTCTCGGACTTTCCTACCTGGGCTGGCTTTGAACCACGATCCTCAGGTCTCAGCCTCCTGAATAGCTAGGATTACAGGTGTGAGCCACCAGCACCTGGCCCTCCCAGGATTTCAAAGCAGTCCCTCAGAGGAAAAGTGAGAGGCTGAGGATACAGACATAAGGACAAAAGATTTAATGGCCATCTAGGCCAAAGTGGTTCATGCCCGCATTTTTAGCTGCATAGGAGGCAGATGGTGGTTTGAATCTGGATTAATGAAAAAGAAATTTGAGGGCTGGGAATGTGGCGTAGTGGTAGAGTGCTTGCCTCACATGCGTGAAGCCCTGGGTTCCATTCCTCAGTACCACACACAATACACAGAAAAACCTGGAAGTGGTGCTGTGGCTCAAGTGGTATAGTGCTAGTCTTGAGCAAAAGAAGCTCAAGTTCAAGCCCTAACACTGGGAAAGAAAGAAAGCAAGCAAACAAGAAAGAAAGAATAAATTTGAGAGCCCCCACCCCCATCCCAACCTATGTATTTATTTAGTCAGTCCTGAGGTACTCTGGGCCTGGGCGCTGTCCCTCAGCTCTTCAGCTCAAGGCTAGCACTCTACTGCTTGAGCCACACGCCACTTCCAGTTTTCTTGTGGTTCACTGGGGATATGAGTCTCACAGACTTTCCTGCCCCAACTGGCTTTGAACCTCAATCCTCAGATCTCAGCCTCCTGAGTAGCTAGAATAACAGGTATGAGTCACTGGTACCCAGTCAATGTTTGTTTTTTTAAAGAGGCCTATGCTGTGCTTCGCATAATGGAAGCTCCTATTGGAATATAATGAAAGCCACACACACAAAAATCTGGAGGTGTGGTTCAATTGGGAGCTGTGTGGTGCCCACCTTAAAGGAGTAAAACAGGGCAGGGATTGCCAGCAGGATGAGGAAGAAGATGGAAATGATGGAGAGACCCAAGAAATCCCACTGGAGGAGAAGCAGGGGCATCAGGACAACAGTCTGCAGCACCAGTGGCTGTTTATGCTGCTGCATTAACTTGATCTGAGATTCTGGATCTTTGGAGTGGGTTCTTTTAGCTATGAGGTCCTTCCTGAGGAGGGAGGGAGACACAGAGAGAGTGCAGTATAGAGACACAGGGTGAGGCGCTGGTGGCTCACGCCTGTAATCCTAGCTACTCAAGAGGCTGAGGTCTGCAGGATCTGGATTCAAAGCCAGCCTGGACAGGAAAGTCAGTGAGACCCTTATCTCCAATGAAACACCAGAAAACCGGCAGTGGCGCTATGGCTCAAAGCAGTACAGCACTAGCCTTCAGCAGAAAAGCTCAGGCACAGCTCCCAGGCCCTGAGTTCAAGCCCCCTGACCGAAAAGAAAAAAAGAAAATTACAGACACAAGTAAGAGGGTCAGGCAGGGGAAATCTGAGTGCCCTAAGCCATACCTTTTCTGGTTAGATATACTAAAAACCCAGCCTGTCCCCAAATAGCCAAAGCTCACCACAAACTCCACATTCCCATGTAACTTCCATGGTCCTAGAACAATACCTCACAGCCAGCCTCTGTCATTCCTGTGCCCCCATAATCCCTCCCTTGTCTCCTTCCCACTGTTTCATCTCCTCTAGCTTCTCCTCTGTGGAAACACATACTACAACTCTCACCACCACCACCACTATCACCACCCACCACCACCACCACCACCACCACCACCACCACCCCCGTCCCTCTCACGCACCCCCCCCCCCATCCCGCAGCATTGCTGATAAACCCATCACAGACACAGTCAAAGTTCTCATGACCTCCCTGGGCTCCCCTAGTCCCAGAGGCTAAGCCTGGGCAGGCAATTAAGACTCACAGGATGTAGCCCATTAGTCCCTACTTTGTTGTGATTGGCTACTCTGTTCAGAGCATGCCTCCAGCTCTAATATCTGGCTTCTGATTGGTCAATGTCTGTAAGAGGTGTTTCCCCATCACATCCCTTTTGCAATGACTGGAAGACTGAGTGATAAACTGTCCTTTTTCTGTTGTGGATTCTGTTTTGAACTCTTGATTGGCTCACTATCTATGTGTGAGTCTCATTTCCAGAGTGAATACTGAGTGTAATCTACCATCATTTAGGATTTGGGCTGGGACTTGAGGCCCACAAATACCTCTGGATGGAAAAGACCATAGCTCTCCTGGGATTCACAGCCCTTGGGAGAGACGGAAGAAAAAAATAGTTAAATGAAATTCAGCTGGGCAACGATGGCTCATGCCTGTTATCCTAGCTACTCAGGAGGCTGAGATCTGAGGACCACAGTTAAAAGCCAGCCTGGGCAGGAAAGTCCATGAGACTCATCTTCAATTAACCACCAGAAAACCTGAAGTGGCACTGTGACTCAAATGGTAGAATGCTCACAGCAACCAGGCCCAGAGTTCAAGCCCCACTGACTGTGAATGAAGAGCCAGGTACCTATGGCTCTTGTCTATAATCCTAGATACTCAGGAGGCTGATATAAGGATCATAGTTCAAAGCCATCATTTTTTTTGTTGGTCGTGGGGCTTGAACTCTGGGCTTGGGCACTGTCCTTGTGCTCTTCAGCTCAAGGCGAGTGCTCTACCGCTTGAGCCACAGCACCACTTCCAGTTTTCTAGCGGTTTATAGGAGATAAGAGTCTCATGAACTTTCCTGCCCGGGCTGGCTTTAAACTGCAATCCTCAGATCTCAGCCTCCTGAGTAGCTAGGATTACAGGCAAAGAAAGTCTTTAAGACTTTTTTTGTTGTTGGTGGTGGTCATGGGGCTTGAACTCTGGGCCTGGGCACTGTCCCTCAGCTCTTCAGCTCAAGGCTAGTGCTCTACTACTTGAGCCACAGCACCACATCATGGACTTTTTTGCCTCTGCTGGCTTTGAACCTTGATCCTCAGATCTCAGCCTCCTGAGTAGCTAGGATTACAGGCATGAACCACCAGCATCCAGCTCCCTACCTTTCTTAACCCCCCACTCTTCAAGTAACAGGGACACATTGTCCATTGTGACTTTTCTCTTGCATATGCATGAAACAGATGTATGTTCTCATTGGTAAGCCACCGGCACCCAGCTTGAGACTCATGTCTAGAAACAGAGCTGTGGCTCAACTAGTAGAGTGTCAACTTTGGGTGAAAAAGCTAAGGGTCAGAGCCCAGGCCCTGAGTTCAAGTCCAGGACCTACTGGTTAAAAGAAAGAAATGAAGAGGACAGATGGGAAAGAAAAGGAAGGAAGGAAGGAAGGACAAAAGATAGATAGACAGACAGACAGATAGACAGACAGACAGACAGAGATGTGTGGGGCCACCACACCAGCAAGAGCCAATATCCAAATTTACCGCATTCAACCAATCCCTATCAAAGTGGGAGCAGTCATGACCTAATAAGGGGCAGAGTCTGGCTCCACCCACTGAAGCCTGAATTGCCAGACAGCACTACGACCACACCCCCTTATGAGGGCAGCCAATCAGGGCTTGAGGTGCTGATTTCTCCATTGTGAAGAATTGGCCTTGACTGTTTGGGTGTTGGGGTTGTGTGGATAGAGCAAGGGGAGGTTTAGTGGGGCTGGGCCTCTGATTTCAAGACACTAAAGATCTGTCTTTATCTGAATAGATTGATCATGATCTCCATACCCAAAGATGACCCAGCTGCCCCAGATGCTTTTCCAGCTGCCCCAGGAGCTCCAAGTGCCCTGGAGACCCCAGCTAGCCCAAGTGAGGCCCCTAAAGAGACATCAGCAAGTCTACAGATGCCTGAAGGACTGGAATTTTATGCTCCAAATTACATATGTTTGACTGTCTTTGCAGTAATTTTTTTCCCTCCCCTGGGACTGGCAGCTGTCTACTTTAGCAGCAAGGTAAAAGAGTGCTCAGGCTTTGGCCTCTTCCTTCCTTTTTTTTCTCTCTTCCCCCACTTTTTTCTTTTTAATAGTATTATTATTTTAATTTATATATTTTTATTGTAAAGATACAGTACAGGGGGGTTACAGTGTCATGAGTAAGGTAATGAGTACGTTTCCTTTCAAGCATTGTTACCCCTTCCTTTGTTTTTCCCCTACCATCCCTTCCCTCCCCACCTGCCCAACTCCTCCCTCCCCCTCCCAAGTTGTAAAGTTCTTTTTCAACATAGTGTCTTGTACATCTCATTGTTACAATGGGTCAACCTGTATCCTTATTTCAGCATTTTGTTAGTTCCCTTCCCCTCCCCAATTAGAAAAATGTATATATAAGATGTAGGGCACCTGAATCAAATACAGTGAAAACAGGGGTTATATCATGAGGGAAGAACATACAAAAGAAACAAAGAAATCACATAGTACATTAAAAACAACAGCGACAAAGATAAAACCTCTTGAGTCTCTATCTTGCTGTTCATTTCACTTAGCATCATCTTATATGGTCATATGTACATAGTTTTTTACCTTTTCTGATTGTCTGGTAAGATTATCCTAGACGTATACTCATTATTGCAAATAAGGGAAACCATGGGACCTATGTTTCTTGGTCTGGCTTATTTCACTTACTATAATTTTTTCCAAGTCTTTCCATTTCCTAACAAATGAGTGGTATCAGATGGAGGCATAGAATTCCATTGTTTTATAGATAGATAGATAGATAGATAGATAGATAGATCACATTTTCTTGATCCATTCATCTACTGAGGGGCATCTGGGTTGGTTCCATATTTTAGCTATGGTGAATAATGCTATAATGAACATAGTTGTGCTGGTAGCTTTAGTATGGCCTTGTTTGTGATCATTTGGGTAAATGCCCAATCTTTTCCTTCTTTCTTTCCTTCCTTCCTTCCTTTTTGCTTCTTTCCTTGTCTTTGTGTGTGTGTGTGTGTGTGTGTGTGTGCTAGTACTGGGACTTGGGCTTGAACTCAGGGCCTGTGCCCTTGCTTAGCTTTTCTACTCAGTGCTGGGCCACTTGAGCCACACCTCCACTTCCAGCTTTTTGTTGTTGTTGTTATTGGTCATAGGTCTTAAACTCTGGCTCTGGGCCTGGGCACTGTCCCTCAGCTCTTCAGGTCAAGGCTAATGCTCTACCACTTGAGCCACAGTGCCACTTCCAGTTTTCTGGTGGTTAATTGGAGATAAGAGTCTCATAGACATTCCTGCTCGGGCTGGCTTTGAACCTCGATCCTCAGATCTCAGCCTGCTGAGTAGCTAGGATTACAGGCGTTAGCCACCAGCACTGGGCCACTTCTAGCTTTTTGATGGTTAATTGGCCAGAAGAGTCTCTTGGGTTTGCCTACTTTGGGCTGGCTTTAAACCTCAATCCTCAGATCTCAGCTTTCTGATTGCTGGGATTACAGGTATGAGCCACCAGCAACTAAAGATGGCCAATTTTATTCTCTTCCTGCCCCCCTGTCTGTGCTTCTGGCTGGGACCCAGGAAGGGGATTTCCCAAGGGTTTCTGGGCTCAGAATCTCATATCTGTGCTCCTGCCTACAGACTACCGAGGCCAACCAGAACCAAGACTGGGAGCAGGCTTACATCAACTCTGGCTGGACTGGTTGGCTGGATGTGTTCGCCATACTCATTGGTTTAGCTATCATTTACGTGTATACGTTATATATGTGAAGGACAGACCAGTATCCCAGGAGTCCATTCTCATCAGGACATTACCAGCTACCATGTGAGAAACTCAGTAGCTGAGACAATCTCCTAGCCAAGAAACCTATCAACCAAGGAACTCAACATCCAAGCAACTCACCTGCTCATGGACATTGGTAATCGCTTGTCAGTGACACGTAGGTTCCTATCGCCTCCACAGCTGTCTTTATCCACCATGATGGGTTGCGCTTTATGCGCTAGATCCCCTCAGTTCTACGGGGATGCTCTTTCAGAAAACTATTTCTTTGCCCAATAAAATGGAAGGGTTTGTTCTGGCTTCTCCTGTGTCTGTATGGTTTTTGGTTCTTTGTTGTTTTTCCCCAGGTTGGGGGAGGGGGGGATTGTCTGTATTTCACTGGGGCTATGTGTTTCCTAGATTATGTGGAAACTTAGAACATTCTGATAGTAAAGCCAGGGACAGGAAATGAGGACATTTGTGGATTTGTACACTAGCCTCTCTTCCCTATGGCATTAAAAAAAAAAAAAAAACTGCCAGACACTGGTGGCACACACCTGTAATCCTAATTACTCAGGAGGCTGGGATCTGAGGATCCCGGTATGGAGCCAGCCTGGGGCAGATAAATCCAAAGACTCTCTTTTTGTGGGTCATGGGGCTTGAACTCTGGTCCTGAATGCTGTCCCTCAGCTCTTCAGCTCAAGGCTAACGCTCTACCACGTAAGACACAGCACCACTTCTGGTTTTCCGAGTGGTTTATTGGAGATGAGTCTCACAGAGTTTCCTGTCCAGACTGGCTTTGAACCGTGATCCTCTGATCTCAGCCTCCTGAGTAGCTAGGATTACAGGCAAGAGCTTCCAACACTCAGTTCCAGAGACTCTTAAAGCCAGAAGTAGAGGCATGGCTCAAATAGTAGAGTGCTACCCTTGAGTGGAAAAAGCCAGTGGAGGGTAAGAGACCCTGAGTTCAAGCCCCAGTGCTGACCAAATAGAAATAAAGATATCCTTTGACAAAATGTGGGGCGGGTTTTTTGGTCTGTAAAATAGACAATAGTAATTTTGCTAAGGTGGGGTGATATTTAGACATTTGAATCAATGTTTTATTCACCAGGTATCTTCTAGGAGCACCTATGAACAGAAACCATCTCTCCAGCCAAGGCGGTCTACCCCAGGGGTGCCCAGAGGCACAGGAGCCGGAGGTGTTCAGGCTGGGAAGGGGCTGACTATCCAGCCCTCAGGATCCCAAAGTCATACATGACTCAGAGGGGTACAAGGGGCATGCAGTGGGTTTGTTGAGTACATGAGCTCTTCCTGTTCCTTGCTGCCATTCTGATTCCTCTGGAAACAGCTCTGCACACCCTGTAGGGACAGTCCAGTCCAGAAACTCCTCTGATTTCCCTTCTTAGGCTTCTTCCGAGGAAGATAAGGATAGATTAATTAAATAAGATCACTTAATTAAATAAGCATAGGGAGAAGGCTGTCTTTCTAGTATCAGAATCTTCCCCCAAGTATACAGGAGCTTCCAAGGTGACAAAAACATGATGCAAGATCTCACACCTCTGCATACTTCCCAGGTTTTGTAACTTAACACCAGTGTTCCGAGAAACACACGCCCAGCCCCGCCCTTCCCCAGGGAAGCAAGTGCAGTGGCTGCTCCCTCCCTGTATGTCCTGTGCTCCTGTAGAAACCATGTCTCTGTGGCGCAATCGGTTAGCGCGTTCGGCTGTTAACCGAAAGGTTGGTGGTTCAAGCCCACCCAGGGACGTTGGGTGTCACTTTTAACCCCATGATCTTTGGTTGAAAGATTTCAAACCTGTACCTTCTCTCCCCAAGAAAGCACTATGGACTTCTCGCGATGCAAAAAGTAAAGGCAAAGTAAAGCTAATCTATACTGGTAGAGTTGGAAAGGAGATTCGTTATGTTATTTCATTGCTAAAGTGCAAGATTCAAAGATGTGTTTTTCTGTATTAAAAGTGATCCGTGAAACATTGCAAAATATTTCCCCTAGCCAGACACCAGCTAACTTCTATCATCTTAGCTATTCAGGAGGCTGAGATCTAAAGATCACAGTTTTAAGCCAGCTGGGCTGGAAAGTCTGTGAGACGCTTATCTCCAATTAACTTCCAAAACAAAAACAAAACTGAAGTGGAGCTTTTTTTGAGCAAAAAAGTTCAGGGACAGAACCTGGACTACAAGCCCCAAGACTGGCACAAAAATAAAGTGATCCATAAAATAAAAAGATTGAGATAATTGAATACTCTTCCCTGCAAGAAATCCTGTTAGGAAAGAAAATAAGCTACCAGGAGAAAATATTTGTAAACCATACATGTGTGTGCATGTACACACACATACACACTGGTGGGGTTGAAATGGCCTCCAAGCAATAAATTCCAGCACAGTCTTACTATTTTCTTTTTCTGGTCCAGTTGTGGGGCTTGAATCTCTGGGCCTGGGCGCTGTCACTCAGTTCTTCAGCTCAAGGCTAGCGCTCTACCACTTGAGCCACAGGACTACTTTCAGCTTTTTTCTTTTTGCTTATGTGGTGCTGAGGAATCGAACCCAGGGCCTCATTCATGCAAGGCAAGCGCTCTACCACTGAGCCACCTTCCCAGCCCCATAAAGCAGTCTTTTTTTTTTTTTTTGGGTCAGTTGTGGGGCTCAAACTCTGGGCCTGGGCACTGTCCCTGAGCTCTTCAGCTCAAGGCTAGTGCTCTAATTTTCTCCTCCATTTTTTCTTGGCAGTGCCGAGATCAAACCCCAGTGCCTCATACATTCTAAACACATAATGTACCACTGAACCACACATTCCTATCCCTGCAAATCACAAAAACTTTTCAAAGGATTCATATCCTTGATATATTTTTTAAACTCTCAAAGAGTCAATTATAAATGAAAATAACTTTGTGTGTGTGTGTGTGTGTGTGTGTGTGTGTGTGTGTGTGTGTGTGCGCTACTACTACTTTTTCAGTCAAGGCTGGAGCTCTACCACTTATGCCACATCTCCACTTCCGACCTTTTGCTGGTTACTTAGAGAGAAGAGTCTCAGGACTTTCCTGCTGAGGCTGACTTTGAACCTTGATCCTCAGATCTCAGTCTCCTGAATTACAAGTGTGAGCTACTTGATCTGATTTTTAATATTTTTAGTCAGCATGAGAGCAGCATTTAGCGTAGGGCTAGTCTTTCCCTACTACTGAGAGACCTGAACTCAACCACAAATTGAAGTAGAAATGCTCTCCACTAGGAGTGCAGTAAGTCAAGGCAGCTAGAGTTCACAAAGCATAGCAGTGGAGAGGAGACAACAGGACAGGTCTTCAGGTCCACATAGAGTCTCATACAATGAACCATCTTCACTCAGTGTAGACCCCTCCACTGGCCTATGTGCTTCTGATCATATAAAGTTATATCTATCAAAAAGAACTCCAAGAAAAGGGCTGGGAAGGTGGCTCAGCGGTAGAGCACTTGCCTTGCATGCCTGAGGCCCTGAGTTCGATTCCTCAGCACCACATAAGCAAAAAGAAAAAAGCCGGAAGTGGTGCTGTGGCTCAAGTGGTAGAGTGCTAGCCTTGAGCTGAAGAGCTGAGGGACAGTGCCCAAGCCCAGAGTTCAGGCCCCACGACCGGACCCAAAAAAAAAAAAAAAAAGAACTCCAAGAAATGGAAACAAATATATTGTAATTATTATAATGTAGTATTATAGTAAATGCATAAAATATGTTATATAATTAATGTATAATAAATACATATTATAAACTATAATTATATAACTATAATAAGTATGTAATTATATTATATATATTTACTGTAATGATTACATTAGTTTTCCCAAGATACGATTAAATACACACACATAAAGACATATATAAACGTGTGTGTGTATATGAACATATATATACACACACATATGGCCCAACAATATATATGTAAACGTATACATATTAATGTATGAGTGTTTAAGGAATTATTTGCAAGACTAATGAACAATAAACAGGGAAATATGTTTAAGTATAATAAATCTTGAACATAATGTTTTTTAAAAATACCCTGATGCAAGGTCCCTAAGTCCCAGCTAGCCAGGAGCTCTCAGTAGTCTGCCCAGCAACCGATGACATCACCTGCGTCGCTCTCGTGACGTCATAGACATGCGCCGCGCTTGAAGCGGGCGCGGGAGGTGGCGGCGGCCGCCCAGGTCTGGCGTTTGTCATGGAGCTGGTGCGGGAAGCGCGGGAACTGGACTGCTGGGCGGTAGAAGAGATGGGGGTACCCTTGGCAGCTCGAGCCCCGGAGTCGACGTTGCGTAGGTGAGATTGCGCCAAGAATGAAGACTTTCCATCCCGGAGCTAACGTCTCTGGAGTTAGACGACCCCCCCCACACACACACACACACATGCATTTATCCAGGACGAGACCGCACCCCAAGTTCCTGAGGGATCCCTGCCCTGAGAATGTGTGTCCTAATGCTGGTGCTGAGTGACGGACCCTGGAGGTTACCCCTGCAACCTAGACGGTCATCCCGATCAGGGACCGCCCCCCTCGCCCCCAGCACCAGTTAAAAATTGCCTAGGGTTAATGAAGGGCATCCCGATCTTATCCCGGTCCGCAGCGATCACCCCCACTACACTGGAGCTGAATCTGATTCATGCCTGGTTCTGGCAGTGTCATACATATCTCACCTGGCCTTAGAACAAGCCTCCCTGATCTCCCCCAATCCGGCCCTATCCCTCCCTACCCTTACCCACCCACCCCCAAGTGAGAACTCAGGATTTCCCATCACCCATCTACCCACCAAAGAGGGTCCTCCATGCCAGGCACCCGGTGGCACTGAGGCTCAAAGTAGTAGAGTGCTAGCCTTGGATGCAAAAACTCAGGGACAGCACCCAGGCCCTTCAAACCCCATGACCAACAACAAGAGAGAGAGAGAGAGAGCGTCTGAGCCCTGTGTGGTACATGAGGGATAGACCTTAACACTCTTCCCCCACCCCACAGGCTGTGTCTGGGTCAGGGAGCTGACATCTGGGCATATGTCCTGAAGCATGTCCACAGTCAGAGGTGAGCCAAGCCTGTGCTGGGGAAGGTTGAGGGTTGGGGCAAGGACAGATCCCACAGCAACCCCCCTTCCTCCTTTTCTCCACTGCAGGAGTCTAAAGAAGATCCGGGGAAATCTGCTCTGGTAACTGCTCAAAATTGTCCCTTCCTAGTCTGTAATCCTAGCTACTTCCAAGGCAAAGATCAGAGGATCATGGTTCAAAGCCAGCCTGAGCAGGAAAGTCCATGAAACTCTCCAACTAGCCACTAAAAAGCCAAAAGTGATGGTATGGTTCAAGTGGTAGAACGTCAGCCTTGAGCAGGAAAAGCTCAGGGACAGTGCCTAGGCCCTGAGATGAAGCCCCAGTAACAAAAATCTATCCCTTCTTATCTTCCCAATTCCCTTCTAGCCTTGTCCCCACCCACAGTCTCATACTTCAGCCTTCCCCGCTTAAAACGCAGGCATCTCTAACACCAGTCTCATTTTTTTCAGGTATGGTTACCAGGATAGTCCAGAGGTGAGAAGCCTTTTCTATAAGATTCTCTTTTAGAGCTGGGAATGTGGCTTAGTTTTGGGGGGGCTAGCTCCACATTGGACTTTTTGATGGTCAGATAGAGCTAAGCGTGTTGTAGTTTCCTACCTGGGGTTGACTTCAAACTGCCATTCTCAGATCTTAGCCTCCTGAGAGCCTTGTGCCTTCTATCCATGAGACTCTTATCTCCAATTAACCAGCAAAAAAGACAGAAGTGGAGGGTTAGCTACAGCTAACCCTGTATTTGACGACACCAGGTTCGTCGCAAGTTGGAACTGGAAGCCACGGCTGCCCGCCTCCGAGCTGAGATCCAAGAGCTGGACCAGAGCCTAGAGCTGATGGATCAGGAGACCGAGACTCAAAGTGACCCACGGGGCCAGGAAGATGGGAAGTGGGGCTGAGGGTGGAGAAGATGCTGAGGGCCACCCCGGTGTTCCTCCCACAGACATAGCCGAGGAGCAGGCACTGCAGAGCATGCGTGACACCCAGCGTCAGGCTCTCCTCCTCCAGGCCCAAGCCGGGGCTGTGTGGAAACAGCAGCATGGACTCCGAGGACCCATGCAGCGGCTGCACAACCAGCTCAAGCGCCTGCAGGACATGGAAAGGTAGGCCTCATCTTGCCTAAGGGCACCTGATAGCCTTAGAGTAACCTCTTCTGCCTCCCCTCTCCCACCACCACTCTGAGCTTGGCCCTGACCCCTTCCCAATTCCAGAATTCCAGGTTCCCATCAGGAACACTTAACGTCCAAACAGGCTAGGAGGTTGACAGTGTCCTAATCTGAGAGGTGGCCACTGGGGCTCAGCAATTCTTGTGACCAGCCATGCGGACCATGGCAGCAGTTGGGACACAAACATCTATTGGTCCTTTGGCCCTTGACCCTATTTGTGTTGCTACTACAGGAAGGCCAAAATGGAGGTGACCTTTGGCCCCCTGACATCAGCAACCCTGGCCCTGGAGCCTGAGGCCTTGGTAAGGACCCTGGGCTGTGAGGAAAGAGTTGAGACGTCCAGGGTGAGGCAATGCCTAGGTCCCCACTCATGGCTCCCCTCCTCTCCCCAGCGGGATGTCCGAGCAGCCTGCAACCTCCGCGCCCGGTTCCTTCAGAACCTCCTCATGCCCCAGGCCCAAGGAGGCCCTGTCCAGTGAGTACCCACACACCCCAGAAACCCCACAGAACAATCTGCGCTTCAGGGTGCTACGTTAGCCCAGACACTGGGGTTCTCAGGCTGGCACAAAGGGCCACACCCATCACAGACAAGTAGCGACCAGGTGGCCAAGGCATTAGGGGTGGGGAAGAGGCTCTGGGCACCCCAAAGGAGTCCCTTACCTAGCTAAGGAGGGGAGGGGACTGGTGAGGAGACAGGGCAAAGGTGAAGGCTCGCATTGGCGTCCCAGGTCAACAGCACATGGGAAGACTGGCGTGTTGGCATAATTGGAGGCGCAGGTGGAGACAGTTTCCTTATCAGCAAAGTAGGATAGAATAATTATAGAAGGGTAACTGTAAAGTCTTATGTATTCTCCATCCTCTTATCCAAATACCAGAAACTCTCGAGATGACCAATTTGGAACTTCCTACCAGCAGTGGCTTAGCTCAGTGGAGGTGAGAAAGTGGCGATCTCCAGAAAGGCCAGCCCCTAACTGTGTGTCCTGCCCCATGGTCCCCGCTTGCGGCCCTGCCCTCACCCCATGCCTTCACTGCCTTCCCTTCCTCCTGCCAGACCCTGCTGACAAACCACCCACCAGGCCATGTGCTGGCCGCCTTGGAGTACCTGGCTGCAGAGCGGGAGGCTGAGATCCTAGCCCAATGCCGCAGTGATGATGGACTGGGAGAGGCCCAGCTACCCAGGTGTGGAGCCGCAGGTTCCTGCAGACAGGGCAGGCACGGGGGGAGGACACACATGGTGACCTTCAGGTTGAGCTGGGCTGGGTGTCCAATGTTGGCACCAAGCTGGTCTTCAGAGATTTGCTTTGTTCCCACCTCAGACCCCAGGTACCCGACCAGTCAGATTCTGACCAGCCAGCACCATCCATGGTACATCTCATCCAGGTAACTGAGGAGCCCTCAGAAGGCCCCCTCTGTCCCTCACCCCCATGGGCCATACCCACACGGACTGTACCCTCAGGAAGGCTGGCAGGCCCTTGGTGCGCTGGTCACTCAGCAGGGCGCCCTCCTGAAAGAATACCAGGTCCTCACTGGCCGCCTCCAGGATGTGGTGGAAGAGGTGGAGAAATGCGTCCTGGCATCAAGCCAGAGGTGAGGGGCTGCCTTAGTAGAGGCCTCTGGCACTGTCTGTCCTGGGTCTCTGTCTGTCAGTGTCTGGGGTTCCTTGTGCATCCCTGATCATCTTGTTCCTGGTGGCCTCAGCCCCTTTCCTGTCTTCTGACGGTCTCCCCAGGAAGGTGCTGATGCTGGGGCTTCGGTGCTGTGGCCTCAGAGCAGAGCTCAAGGCCCTGTGTGCCCAGAGCCAGGAGTTGGAGGAGACAGCTGAACACCAGCAGCTTCTGCTGAAGGAGCTCCAGGCCAAGCAGCAGAGGATCCTGCACTGGCGCCGGCTGGTGGTGAGAAAGAAAGAAAATAGGCCGATCATGATCCAGGCACACACCAAGCCTTGGACCTGGGCGAGAGCCACTATGGAGACTTCAGAGGCTCCTGGGAGTGGGGTACCCAGGGCAAGACTCCTGTGGGACCAGTGTGAAGGGGTGGCAGCTTGTCTCTGGTCTCCCGGCCCCCCAGGAGGAGACCCAGGAACAGATCCGCCTGCTCATCAAGGGAAACTCAGCCAGCAAGACGCGCCTGGGCCGGGGTCCTGGGGAGGTGAGACAGGTGTAAGGGCTGGGGGGGGGGGGACCCACGCGTGAGGGGGTGTTGGTTGGACCCCGGCTCGCCTGTCCTTTCTCTCCCCGGCCCCAGGTGCTGGCTCTGCTTGAGCGGAAGGTGGTTCCCACTTCTGAGGCTGTGGCACCACAGAGCCAGGAGCTGCTCCGCTGCCTGGAGGAGGTAGCCCGGCATCTGCCAGATATTCTGCTGGGCCCCTTGCTGCGGCACAGCCCCGAAGGGTGAGGCTAACGGCCAGCTCCCACCTCTCCTGCCCTGAGGGACTGTCATTCCCTAAAGTCTCCTCAGTGAACGAACCCCAGGGGTGCCAAGCTGCCACACCTCCCAGCTCCCACACCTAGGTCTGGCATCCTAGTCCCCAGACTCCCTCCCCACGCTCCCTTCTCACTGTTCCATCTGCCTTGGTGCCTTCCCACTCTAGCTCCAAGCCACTGCCCACCATCCTGCCATCCATCCACCAGCTGCACCCCACACCTCCAGTGGGCTCTAGCCTCATAGCACTGAGCCACATACTGGGGCTGCCTGCAGGGAAGGTGAGCCACTGTCCCCTGGGACCTGTCTGCCTACCCCTGTCCCCATCCCTGTCCCAGGTGACTGTCCTCCCTCGCTCCCTCCTTCCTTCCCTCCAGGCACCAGAGCTGCTCCTCCCGAAGGCTGCCTCTCTTCGCCAAGACCTTCTATTCCTCCAGGACCAGCGCAGTCTCCGCTCCGCCAGTTTACTCCACCTGAAGACCCATCTACAGCCAGAATTGACCACCCAGGGTAGGCCTATCCTGCTTCCTGGATCCAGCAGCACTGGTCTCCTGCGGTGCTAACAAACACCCCCACTCACCCAGGCCTTACTGTGAGCTTAAAACACATTTGTTGGTTTAATCTGCAGGGCAAGGCCATGTGGTAAGCACACCATTTCCCCACATTATAGAGAAGGGAGCTGAGATGCCCGTGGCTTAGTAGCTCGCCCACATGGCCGAGCTGGGAGCTAAACCCAGGTAGTCAGCCAGAAGTCTCACTCTTACCATGAGGATCTACAGCCCATCCATTTGCAAAGTACTTCTATCAGATAGTGTTCTGAAGTAGGTAAAAAGCAAGGCTGTGGCTGGATGTTGGTAGCTCAAGACTTACAGTCTTGCTACTCTAGAGGCTTGAGATCTGAGGATCCTGGTTCAAAGCCAGACAAAGCGGGAAAATCTGTGACACTCTCATCTCCAGTTAACCACCAAAAAGCCAGAAGTGGGGCTGTTGTTCAAGTGGCAGAGCACTAGCCTTGAGTGAAAAAGCTAAGGGGATACCGCCCAGGCCCTGAGTCCAAGCCCTAGTGTTAGCTCCCCACCCCCACCCCATCCTATCACCCCCAAGGGTGATCAAGGTTACAGAGACAGGAGGAAATTGAGCCAGATTCAGAGCCACCAGGTCTAGTGAGGCTGCTGATCTTTACTTGGTATGAGCAAGGCCCTGTGTGGGCACCTGGAGAGGGACTAAGCCTAGTCATGATCCTGAGGGGAAACACTGCTGGAGTAAGGGGCTGTGGTAGGCTGAGGAGAAAGCTTGGGGGTGAAGGATGCTGGGAAGACTTCCCAAGTGGAAATAGGATACCTCACTTGGTGGACAGGGGCCATGTAATGCAAGCTCCCAAATACCAGACTGGCGAGCTTCGCTCTACCTTGGGGAAGACTTAGAGGGATCTAAGCTGGAGAGGGAGAACTTGAACTCAGGGCCTGGGCACTGTCCCCTAGCTTTTTCATTCAAGCCTGGTGCTCTACCACTAGAGCCACAGCTCCACTTCCAGGGTCAGGTTGAAACTCCAGGAAGATCATTCTGTTGTGAGTGACCCTAGTGGGAGCCTGAAGCCTGGAAGGGAGGCTGACCAGGAAAGTAGGAAAGGTTAAGAGGGCTCTGTGGAGAGGCATCTAGGATGAGGCCTGGGATAGGTATGTCCTTGAGATGAAGACTCAAAAGGGACAGGTTTGGGAAAGATGCTGAGATCACCAAAGAATTTGTGACCCCATTGGTTTGTGTTTTTATTTGGGGGGGAGGGGGGGTGTTCCGGTCGTGGGGCCTGAACTCTGGGCCTGGGCACTGTCCCTCAGCTCTTCAGCTCAAGGCTAGCGCTCTACCACTTGAACCACAGCCCCACTTCCAGCTTTTTTTTCTTTTTGCTTATGTGGTGCTGGGGAATCGAACCCAGGGCCTCATGCATGCAAGGCAAGCGCTCTACCACTGAGCCACCTTCCCAGCGCCCCCCATTGGTTTTTAAGTCTGAAGACAGCTGAAGGACTCAAAGCTGCCTTCCAATTTCTAACCCCCAGAGCTGCTGCAGGTCCAGGCCTCCCAGGAAAAGGAGCAGAGAGAGAGCGTGGGACAGGCTCTGAAGCGGCTGGACAACTTGCTCAAGCAGGCGCTGAAGCGTGTCCCTGAGCTGCAGGGGGTCGTGGGGGACTGGTGAGAGGGCACATGAGGGGTAGAGGAGTGAGATGGGTGGAGTCAAGACTCAGGTCTTGGTGATGGAAGAAGCCAGAGAATGTCTGGAGAGCTGGGCCTAACCTCTGATGCCATGTTCTTCCTCAGGTGGGAGCAGCCAGGCCAGGCTGCCCTTTCCGAGGAGCTCTGCCAGGGCCTGTCTCTTTCCCAATGGCATCTGCGCTGGGTCCAGGCACAAGGAGCCCTGCAGCAGTTGTGCAAATGAAGAGAAGCTCAAATCAGAGTCAAGAATCTAGCCAGGCGCCGGTAGCTCACACCTGTAATTGTAGCTACCCAAGAGGTTGAGATTTGAGGATCATGGTTCAAAGCCCGCCCGGGCAGGAAAGTCTGTGAGACTCTTTTCTCCAATTAACCACCAGAAAACCAGAAGTGGAGCTGTGTTTCAAATGGTAGAGCACTTGCCTTGAGCTGAAGAGCTCAGGGACAGTGCCCAAGCCCAGAGTTCAAACCCCATGACCATAAACAAACAAAACCCTAGGGGGTGGCTCAAGTGGTAGGGCATTTACTTAGCAAGTTGGAAGCCCTGAGTTCAATTCTCAGTACTGCCAAAAAAGAAAAAAAATGAATTTTATCCCAACACTGTGCCTCCCTCAATAAAATATTTAAAAACATCACTAGGACTGGCCAGTTCCCTTGTCTCTATCCCACATGAGGCTCTCTGTTGTTCATTTCCCTTGCCCCTTGCCCTTACATCCCACCAAAGCCAACAGAATGTCTGTATCTTGCTAGGAAAAATAACTGTGCCAGGGCTGGGAATGTGGCTCAGTGGTAGAGTGCTTGCCTGCCATGCGTGAAACCCTGGGTTTGATTCCTCAGTACCACATACACAGAAAAGCTGGAAGTGGTGCTGTGGCTCAAGTGGTAGAGTGCTAGCATTGAGCAAAAGCAGCTCAGGGACAGTGCCCAGGCCCTGAGTTCAAGCCCCAGGACTGGCAAAAATAAATAAATAAATAACTATGCTGGGTATCAGTGATTCACACTCAGGAAGCTGAGATCTGAGGAATGTAGTTCAAAGTCAGTCCAGGCAGAAAAATCCTTGAGACTCTTAATTCCAATTAACCACCACCAAGCCAGGTTAAAATAAGCGGATGGGAGGCTGGGAAGGTGGCTCAGCAGTAGAGTGCTTGCCTTGCATGCCTGAGGCCCTAGGTTGGTTCGATTCCTCAGCACCACATGAGAAAAAAGCCGGAAGTGGCACTGTGGCTCAAGTGGTAGAGTGCTAGCCTAGAGCTGAAGAGCTGAGGGACAGCGCCCAGGCCCAGAGTTCAGGCCCCACGACCGGACCAAAAAAAAAAAAAAAAAAAAAGCAGATAGGATATTAATTAGACCAAGGAAGAAAGAAATTTAAATAGGGGCAAACAACTCCCAAGAGCTGAAAAGTAAACTCTGGAAATGGAACCAATTGCGGCTTGGCATTTACTGAAATTGGTAAAAATCGGGCTGTCTGTAAGGCTAACCAACCGCTGATAACCTGTGTTATTCTTGCTTGCTCAGCAAATATGCTAAAATATGGAACTTGATCACCTGCGAGTGGCCTCTGTGGTTCTGGCTTTTAAATACCCTGAGCTAGCCGGGTGCCAGTAGCTGACGCCTGTAATGCTAACTACTCGGGCGGCTGAGATCTGAGGATCGCGGTTCAAAGCCAGCTTGGGCAGAAAGTCCGTGAGACTCACATCTCCAATAAACCACTCAGAAAACCTGAAGTGGCACTGAGCGCTCGCCTTGAGCTGAAGAGCTGACAGACAGTGCCCAGGCCCACAGTTCAAGCCCCGTGACCAACGACAAAAATACCCTGAGCTCCTTGGGTCCGGTGCTGTTTCCCACTGCTGCTGTGGTGGGGGACAATCCCCCTACAGCTAATAAAGATTCCTAGCCCGATTTGACTTGAGTGTCGGACTGTCTCTCGAGAACGGCGGGAAATCGCGGGATATTTCAGGAGCTATGGTTCAAGCGGTAGAGAGTGGTAGCCTTGAGCAAAAAAGCTCAGGGACAGCGTCCACGCCGTGAGTTCAAGACCCAAGACTGGCACCAAAAACAGTCACGGGATGTCACTTCACTTCCGCCCCAAAGCCTGAGCCAGGCGCCTCCTCTCAGCTTCGAATCAACCCGGCCTCGCGCCTGGCTTCCCGCTAACGCGCACTTCCGCATGTTTACAAACTTCTCGCCCGGGGGCCCGCGGGCACCCTCAACGCCCCGAACTTCGCGGCCTTCTCCCAGGCCTGTATTCCACGGTGGGGGTGGGACCAGCTGACTTCGCTTCCACCTCATTAGCTCACCTTCCCCTAGGAAGGTGTGGCCATGTCTCTGAGGCGCTCTGATTGGTCCGAGTGCTTCCCTCCTTTCCGGCACTCTGATTGGCTTACATTCCCCATAGGGTGTGTCCGTGCCTGATTGGCCCATGTTCGCGAACGTATGGCGTCACGCACCGCGTCCGTCGCTTGCTTTACGTCACTCGCGGGCGCCCACCCTGTCGAAGGCGGAGAGTAGACAAGCCGATCCCGCGGCGGCGGCAGAGCTGAGACCATAGGAGCGGCGACAGCGACGGCTGCAACGATGGCTGGGGCCGGACCAGCTCCGGGGCTCCCGGTTACAGGAGGACCCGTAGTACCAGGCCCTGGTGGAGGCATTCCGGGAAAAAGTGGAGAGGAGCGTTTGAAGGAAATGGAGGCGGAGATGGCTCTGTAAGGCCGGAGGGAAGGAGTGGGAAAAGCCGCCCCAGAACCAAGTTACCCGGCCCGGAGCATTCGGGCGGCTCTAGGGGAGCGGGGACCTTCGGGAGGCTCCCGGCGGTGGGGGGGGCGGAGTACAGGAGTGGAACCACGACGTACCCAGAGTCCCAGCAGGGGATCCGACTTGTATCTCTTGATTCTCTCCTCAGATTTGAGCAGGAAGTTCTGGGAGCTCCAGTAACTGGGATCCCAACCGCGGTGCCCACGGTGCCCACGGTAGAAGCGATGCAGGTCCCAGCAGCTCCTGTGATCCGACCAATTATTGCGACCAACACGTACCAGCAGGTGAGGCTGAGCTTTGGCGGGTTAGTCCGGGGACACAGTGTCTGAACCTCAGCAAGCTCAGCAAGTGTTTATATCCACGAGCTCTTGATTCTTTTGGCTTGTTAATTGAGTATCACAGATGTCAGGTTTGGAGATACTGAGTATACTAAGACATCACTTCCTTTTGGGAGTTTACCATGCAAGAACATTTTGTTTGGCAAACTTTCTGCTCCCTATTTGTTGATTGTTTGCTGAAGTTTAAATAGTTCCTCTGTTTCATTGGTCAAATTTCAAGTGTTCAATAACTATCTCTCTCTGACTAGTGTTAAGAAAAGGGGAAGTCCAGGTGCCAGTGGCTCACTCTTGTAATCCTAGTTACTCTGGAAGCTGTGGTCCGAGGATCACAGTTGGAGAAAATTTATTTTATTGGTGGTGGTGGTGGTGGTAATGGTCAGTTGTGGGGCTTGAACTCTGGGACTAGGTGCTGTCCCTGAGCTTTTCAGCTCAAGGCTAGTGCTCTACCACTTTGAGTCACAGCTCCACTTCCAGTTTTCTGGTGGTTGATTGGAGATAAGAGTCTCATGGACTTTCCTGCCCAGGCAGGCTTTGAACCTCAACCCTCAGATTTCAGCGTCCTGACTAGGTAGGATTACAGGCATGAGCCACCAGCAACTGGCTGGAGAAAATTCTTGAGAGACTTATTTCCCACAAACTGAAAAAGCTAGAAGTGAAGCTGTGGCACAAGGGATAACCTTGAGGGGAAAGAAAAAAAGCTAAGGGACAGTGCCCAAACCCTGAGTTCAAGGCCCAGAATATTAGCACGTACATACATACATACATACATACATAAAAGAGATGGTATAAGGAACTATGCACATGTCTGGAGTATGATCATTCCAAGCAGAGAAGTGTCAGTGCCCAGACCCTGAACCAGGCACGTAATTGTCACATTTGAGGAACAGCAAGAGATCAGTGTCTGGAGTGGAATAAAAACAGAAGGAAGTGGAGATAAAGACAGGCCAAATCTTGTATGGTTTCCTCTGTTAGGGGGAGCTGTTGAGGATTCTTGGTAGTAATTTAACTCCAAGGTTAACAGAGCAGCGCTGGCTGTCTAAGGGTAGAGGGTAAAAGGTTAGTATAATAGTCTAGACAAGAGGAGATGATGGGTTGAGCTGGGGTAGGATGTGGGAGATGGGGAGCACAGGTTGCACCTAACTTCAGAGTGCTGTGGAGAGGAGGAAGCAGAGTGATGGGCAGCACTGAGACTGACAGACCTAGGCAGCTTTAGTTCCTTGGTCCCAAAGCCTCCTTTCCCAGGTGACATTAACTGAGCCCTGAGAGATCACCAGAGCTCAAAGGGTAGAAGTCTATGCCTCTGATGGCGGACACTGAGTCAGGCCCCTTATTCCCAACCTTTTTCCCACAGGTCCAACAGACTCTGGAGGCCCGGGCAGCCGCTGCAGCCACAGTAGTTCCTCCCATGGTGGGGGGCCCTCCTTTTGTGGGCCCAGGTAAGTAAAGAGACACAAGGTAAGGTCAGGATCAGGTGTGGGAAGGTGATAAAAAGGAATGCCCGTGACTTACCTTTTACCATCCTCGTCTCTCCCTTCCCAACAGTTGGCTTTGGCCCTGGTGATCGGAGTCACCTGGACAGTCCAGAGGCTCGAGAAGCCATGTTTCTCAGGCGAGCAGGTAGGTCCAGAACCAGGAGGCCCACATTTAACCAGGAGCATGTGTTGAGGCAGGCTTCAGCCTCTTCCCTGTTTGGCTGCTTTAAATCCTCTTCTCCATTCATCCCTACCCTCATGTTGTCATCTTTGTAAAACACAAACCTGATCCCGTGCTCCTTGATTGTCTATCTTGTCAGTTTGGCCTAGACCTGGTCATTGCTAAGCAGCCTCTTCCCAAACCTTTGCTAAGTGCTAACCTAGCTCTTCACGCTTTATACCAAGTTGTATAATTTACTTTTTATCAGCTGTGCTTCCTCTAAAATACAAGTTTTATGAAGGGAAGACCTCTGGTTCCTGCCACATAGCAGGTGTGATCAACTTCTCATGAGAGAATGGGCAAGTCCCAGGCTCATGGTTAGCCCCTGGGTGACCTGGCTCCTTGCAAAGAGAGATCCTCACAGTCCCCCAGGAGCCCTTGACTTTGCTAAGACATACTAGAAGTGCTTTCTGCTGTTTCTTGTTTCTCAACCATACTCTTCCAACCTGTCCCATCCAAAGGCTATACGCTACCTTTTTTTTTCTGTCAGTGATAGGGCTTGAACTCTGGGCCTGGGCACTGTCACTCAGCTCTTCAGTT